GAACGTATATTTGGCCTTTGAGGATGAAAGACTGTGTATTTTACACACACACACACACACACACACACACACACACACACCCTCTGTTACATTTCTTCCCTCAAAAAAGTATTTCCTTGTTGATCTTTAATCTAGTTGATCTATGAAGGGGTTACAAAGCAGTGTTGAAATATCCAACTACTGTTGTGTTGCTGTCAATGTTTTTCTTCATCTTTTAGTTGTTTTAAGTATTTTGCTGGTCCCTCATTAGGTGCATATACATTTAGGTGTGTGCATTCTTCCTGTTGTATATTTCTCTTGATCATTTAGAAATGACCAAGCTTTCTCTTACAGCCTTTTTCAGCCTGAAATCTGTGTTCTCTGATACTAGTGTGGCCACTCCAGCCTTTTTGAGAGGGTTGTTTGCTTGAGAAATTGTTTTCAAACCTTTAATTTTGAGTCTGTGTTTGCTCTGTCTATCCAAATGTGTTTCTTGAGGACAGCAGAGTGTTGGGTTCAATTTTCTAATCTGTTCTGCCATCCTGTGTCTCTTAATTGGTGCATTTAGCCCATTGATATTGAGATAAATTGTTGTTAGAGTAACATGCCATCTTTCTGTAGGAATTCTACATGTTTGAGGGGCCTGTCTTGTCTTAAAGTATCCTGCTTAGTTCTTGTAACAGTGGTATTGAAGTTCCTGAGTTGTTTATCTGTGAAGTTGTGTATTATTCCTTCAAATCTGAATGAGAATCTAGCTGGGCAAAGGATTCTTAGTGATGCATTCATTTCATTGAGTTTTTTCGCTATATCCCACCACTGTCTTCAGGCCAGAGGGTTTCTGGCCTGGCAAGTCTGCTGTAAATCTTAAGGACTATCCTTTATATATAATCTCTGCTTTTGCTGCTTTCAGTATTCTATCTCTATCTGTGATTTTTGTCCTTCTAATTATTCTAATTATGATGTATCTTGGAGTATTTTTATTTGAATTTAACTGAAACCCTTCAGGCCTCCTGGATCTGGGTGCATACACTCTTCGTGCATCTCGGCAATGATGTCTTTGACTTTTGCTTCTTCATCAGGGTTGTCTTTCTGCTTTTCTGGAACACTGATGAATCTTATGTTGTTCCTCTTGAATTCATCCCAAAGTTCTCTTGTCATTTATTGGTTTATTTTGAGATTTTCCTCCACCTTCTTCTGCAATCTGGAGATTTTCTGCACTTCATCTTGGAGCTCACTGATTATATCCTCAGCAGCTGCTGAGGCCATCCATTGAGTTCTTCATTTCACCTACGAAGCTTTTCAGATCTGTCATTCCTGTTTGTAGTTTCCTCATTCCTGTTCTCATATCCTCTTGTGTTTTATTGGTGGTCTGTTTCATTGTTTCTTTGAGCTCCTTATACATCCTCAACAATTCCTCTCTAAGTTCCTTCTTAGAGAGGTTTTATAGCTCATTATTTCTAGTTGGGTTTTTCGGGTTAACATCTTCACTCACTAAACCTGGTGGGGTTCTGCATTGCTTTACCACTTTGATCTTTGCAGTTTGGAGTCATTTCTTGTGTGTTGTTGTCTGGTTAGGTATCTGATTTAGGAAGTCTTAGTATGTTTATGGTGAGTTATAGAGAGGTAAAGAAATGCCTGCCTTTTAGGCAGGGGCAGCAGAAGGGAATATTCTTGACTTGAGGGAGCAAAATGGAGATACTGAGTAAAAAGCCTCAAACTTTTTTTTAAAATTTTATTTATACAAAGTTGTTCACAATAATTGATTACTTTCAATATTTTAAAGCAAATCCCAATTTTATCACCATTACAACTTCCCACCACCATTATTTCAAATTTTCCCACCACCACTCAAACCTGCCCCACAGGCAGATGCTAGATAATTTTTTTGTATTGCTTGTTATGAATATCATGAGATGTGTGGCCACAGAAGTGGGCACACACTTCTGGAATTGTAACATTTTAAATAGTTAGGATCCATAGAAATCTCTGCAGTGAGCTGCACGGTTCTGAGATTCTTTTGTGAGTCTCTGGATCATGGCCATTAATGCACTTAAATGGCACCCGGAGACAGTATGTGGACTTGACAGCCAGGACCCAATAGGGGAGGAGATATGGAAAGGAGCAGCCTGTCCCAGATCCCTTGAGGCCTGGAGTTTGCAGTCACTGGTCCCATGTACCTGGGTTTTTCGTTGGGTTCTGGAGATTTGCAGCTACCAGGATTCATAGGGGGCAGGTAAAGGGATGACACCAGCACCCATCTGAGCCTCAAACTTCTTATGCTAGTAGTTATTCTAAGACAGTCATCTCCAGTTTTTTTTCCAATTTTTTAAATTATCTACAGTAAAGATGCATTTTATTTTATCAGAAACTTATAAATGCATAAAATACCACAAAATCTTTATTATAGAAAATATATATACATATATACACACTTATGTATATATGTGTATATATGTCTATATCTATATCTATACACATCTATATGTATATCTCGTTTGGAAACTACTAAGGAAACATCATCACTGTACTGAAAAGTTCTCTAGAAAGGATAAACTTGATCTAATCTCTGTAATTCTTCAGAGTGCAGTTGTTATTTTCTTTGCTCAGTTCTCCTCTTTTGATTCTCTTTATATTATACATCTATAGCCTCAACTGGTCTGTTTCATCTTTCTACCTTTTGTCCTTCATCTCCCCACCTTCTGTCTTGTCACAGCATAGCTATAACTTAGTACTTTAATGAAGAAATGTAAAATGTGAATTTTAACCTCTATGTTTAATTCAAAATTAAGTTCTACAGGATGCATTTGCAATTTTACCTCTTTGTAAGATTACGGAAAAATTGCAATTTAAAGTATTTTAAATAGCAATATTTAAAATACTTAATATTTTGAAGTTAAATCCATACAGTTTGTATAGTTCAGAAATAATCAGTCAGGAATTATACCTATTTATGAGTGGAAGTTTCAGAATAATTGAAAACAAGATTCCTCAATTCTTAATTTCTTGAGTTTTGTTCATGTTATTACCTGTGTCTCACATTTTTCCCTTTCTCTCAGTTCTCACTGCTACTGTCTTGTTCATCCTTCTCCTAGATTATTATGAGATCTTAGTTAATATTTTTGAACATTCAGTATATCCTCTATCACAGTGGTAGTCTGAAGTGGAAATTGATCTGCCACTGACTGCTTATAGTGCCATAATGGATTTCAGCCACCTGAGGATAGAACCTAAATTGCTTGGCATGGCTTTTTTCAGGCATCCATTCTCTTGACAACTATGGTATTGGGGTGAAAATTGTGGTGAAAGGTTAATAAAAGATAAATCCATCGAGTAGTTCAGTATGTCCACAATCTCATATAGTTGAATCTTTTTGTATATACTTCTATCTGGAAATTCTTTTCTTCTCATTCAGTTACCATTCAAATAATACCTAAAATTTTTTGTACAGTGTTGCTCCAATAGTTTTCTTGATATTTTAGTATACCACATATGTTTATAAGTGAGCATACTCCTATACTGGGAGTTTCTAGAAAAGAAAGTCATCTTCATTTGGATCTTCCATGTCCCTGGACATTGTACTCAAGGAACTTTTAGACTACCAAGAGAGGCAAATTGACATTTAATTGCCATACTGAAATGGAGATACTCCAGATGAATCTAGAGCATTATGAATTGGGGAAGAAGGGTGGTAAGTGTATGGTTTGAGTGTGGGGAGGGGTCGTTGGGTTTTATTTGTTTTGGAGGCCACAGCTTATAATGCTCATAGCCTCTAAGATGCATATTAGGGAAATATACTTCTGTTTTCCAACCAGTTTAAAGAATATACAAATGTTTTGTGTAATGAGTGTACAGTATTTTATTTAGTTTTCTTTCTCAGCTAGGAAGTAGTCCTGAACCAATGAGTGGTTGTACAGCTATAAAATAAAAAATTTAATGAAACCCGTTTATTGGGTCCACATATGTAGTTCAGTGGTAATGGCACAAGCCTCCTGTGTGTGAGGCTTTAGATTCCATCACTGGTATTTCCCTCAGAAATAGTCTATTAAATAAATGATAGGATTGTGAATATTGTATTCTCTGTCACTGTCACTGTCCTCCCGTTGTTCATTGATCTGCTCGAGCGGGCCCAGTAACGTCTCCATTGTGACAATTGTTACTGTGTTTGGCATATTGAATACGTCACGGGGAGCTTGCCGGGCTTTGCCATGTGGGCGAGATACTCTTGGTAGCTTGCCAGGCTTTCCAAGAGGGGTGGAGGAATCGAACTCGGGTCGGCCATGTTGGCCACTTGCAAGGCAAACGCCCTACCGCTGTGCTATCGCTCTCTCTATATTTCCCTCTATATTTTAAACTTTGCTCAATTAAAGAAATGGAATTTTTTCCCTTTTTCATTTGAAAAGCTCTTATAGATGCCCCTTTTATTTGTCGAACTTAGAACTATTAAGAATATTTTACCTCACTTAAACCTCAAAATAGTCTTGTAGTTAGATGGTCTTATTTTCATGATATGGTAAAGCTCAAAAAATTCAAATAATTTTTCTACAGTTTGTACAGTGTCAGAACAGAATTTAAATCCAGGTTGTTCTCTGATCTCCATAGTCTTTCCCATGAGATCATGTTTTCTTCAGACTACCAAAACAAAACAGAGCCACCTCATTTTTTACAGTTGTAGGAAGATGTGCATTTACATGCTTGAGCAAAGAAGTTAAACACTATGCTGTATTTATGTAATACTTAAAAAAAATTTAATGCTTGGTATATGTCATTACGTTTTCTCTGAATAGCAAAGTTCTAGTGGCTGCAATCCCTAACAAGGCACATGTGATAAAGAGTCAAATGAAAAGTCTGTGTATGTATATTGAGTTCTGAGTCCTAATATATACTGACTTTGGAGAAGTTATGACATATATTTAACTATGTTTTATGTATCAGCTGCTAGTAGTATTTTCTGATGTTTAGAGATGTGATTAATTCTGTGTTGAATATGTTATAATGTTTCAACCGTGTTTGCTTTGTATTAGAGAACTTCCTAGACTGAATCCTGAATTGATGAAATCAGAAGTTTGTGCTCCCTTGTTAACAGGTAACATTTAACATTTTCAGAATTTTAGGTATCTTAATTGAGGTATAGTCAAAATGACATTATTAATCAATTTTTACTTCGAAACTGGTTAACCAAATGTTTTATTTTTCTGTTTTTGGTTAACAGATCAAATGTTTAAATACCATTTTTGACTTTATAAAAGATAATTGACCTTAGAAATTTATCTTTCAAGACTTTTTTTTGCATTTTTTTGTTTTGTCTTGTTGGGTTGCAGTCTTTTATTTTTTTGTGAGTGGGGAAGCACTCCCTTACTTGCATGCAGTGTTCAGGACGCCCAGGAGCCCACCAACAACTCATGGCCAACCTGGCTGTCTATTCAATGCCAAGGGCCTTAGAAAGCAATGCTACTCGGGCCCTGAAGTACTGGAGATACCCAAGCCACCCTGGCTGTGGTAGGGGCCTCCAGAGCTGACCCATTGATACTTAGGGGATTATGTGGTACTGGACATTGATCCTGGATTGAGTACTTGCTAGCATATGTCCTGACTGCTGTACTATTCCCAACCCCCATCTTTCTGAAATTAAAAAATATATTTAAATATGATCACACTTGGAAACTGGAGAGATAATACAGCGGATAGGGCACTTACCTTGCGTGCAGCTGGCAGGAGTTTGATCACCAGAATCCCAACTATTTCCCCCAAAGACTCCCAGGAGTGATTTCTGAGTGCGGAGCCAGTGATTACCCCAGAGCATCACCAGATGTAGTCCAAAAAGAAAAAACAAAAAAAGTATGATCACATTTTAAATCTGACTCCTTTTAAAATGTTTTAATTTGGAACGAATTGTTAAATACTGTAAATAATCAATTTACTTATAGATTATAGTCATAAATAAGTTAAATCCAAGTTGTAAGCTTAAATGAACTTAAACCTTCTTTGGAAATAATTTGAAAGTAAATTTTACTTGGACTTTCAGGTTTTTAAAGTGTTGAAAATAGCTGGACTTGATCAAAAAGATTCTTAAATTTACTTTTCTGCCTGTCAGTGTATTACTGTGAATTCTTTTAATATCATATGATGGAATTATTTTATTGAAAAAGAATAAATCATTTATAATTTGCTGAAAATACATATTTGCCACATTGAACTTTAAAAGTTTCTAAATTTTAACATTTTACAAGTCTTTTAATGACTTGGTTACTTTATAATTTATAATGAATATTTTATTTCAGCAAATGAAATAAAACATGATTCCAAAGGTGAAAACTTGGGAGAAGTTACAGATGAGACCTCTAAAAATGAAAAACTGGGAGATTTTGGTGAACAAATAAAGAGTTCAGACTTGAATGAGAAGGTACTAAGGAATCTTTTTTATTTTCTTATTTCTCAGTTTATGTAGAGGTGATACAGAAATTTATCTTTTAACATCAAGTGATAAATACAACTTTTTTAAGACTTATTTTAAATTTTACCATTTTTATTGAGGTTCCAGGATTTACAATACTTTTAATTATACTTTTCATGCATGTATCATTGTAGTATCACACCTGCTACCACAGTGCTCACTTCTCTCCACCTATAACTTTTTTATTGAGTGAAAGAATGTCATCACTCCTCCTGCTTGGTAATTTGTGCAAAAGTCAGTGTTAATAGGATTCCCCTTGTTCAGAATAATGGGATATGTTGTTTAGTTACCTATTTAACTTTTTAGTATCTTGAAAGTCATCTCAAAAGTTTAAGTCTTTCCATATTGTTACATATTTTCCTTCCTTGTTGAATACAAAATACTGGTATCACTTGAGTATTTTTGGAAATTTTAGACTAGTAGCACAGCGGGTAGGGCGTCTGCCTTGCACGCAGCCAACATGGCCGACCCGAGTTCGATTCCTCTGCCCCTCTCAGAGAGCCCGGCAAGCTACCGAGAGTATTCGATATGCCAGACACAGTAACAACAAAGTCTCCAATGGAGACGTTACTGGGCCCGCTCGAGCAAATCGATGATCAACGGGAGGGCCTTTACCTTTACCTTTTTAGACTAGTATAGCACAGGAGGTCTTTCAGAGATACAGAAGGCATAGGAATTAGAGCTAAACCTAACCTGTCACTAGAACATACGACTGACATATGGGGTTCAGGGTGGGGATGGTATTTGTTATCATTTTTTTTTCGTTCTTGTTCTCTGCCAGGTATTGTATGTGATTGAACCATTTGCATAATTTAATTAATTCCCAGGCAAAAATTTTATATTTTCTTCCCCTTATAGCTCTAGTTTTCTCATTCATGCTTATAGGTAATAAGCTAGTTTTCTACTTCATTAAGAAAATTTAAGAAATTGGAAAAGAATTTCCTAATTTCCCATCAGTATATATTAGTCCAACTTACCTGCATATGCCTCCACACTTCAACATGCTTTCTATTAAAGGCCTTTCCACCACTTTGGTAGAATTTTATCTCTTCTCTTAAAATATTTTTTAGTAGTTCTTATATTTTCATCATCCTCATCAGTATGCTTTTCTTCCTTCTTTAATAGAAAGAACTCTTCACTTGCCCCATTTTTTTTAAAGTTGCTATTCTTTTCTCAGAAGACTTATCTCTACCACTATTTTCCAGTTTCTCGCCTCCCATTCTCTTCCCATTCTAAAGAAAATTTGTCTTTACCCCACCAAAAACTATCCCTCTCTGCCATAGAGACAGGGGAAGGGTTGGGAAGGAGGGTGGGTGGATACTGGGGACGTTGGTGGAGGGATGGGTGTTTGATTATTATATGACTGAAACTCAAACATGAAAGCTTTTTAACTGTATCTCATGGTGATTCAATAAAAAATAAATAATAAAAACTATCCCTTATTAATTTTTTGATTGAGGTAACTTTGATTTAGAAGACTGTAAATTTTTTTTATGTGTACAGTGTTATCATACCACTCCATTGCCAAAATACCACTATCCTTCACCAAACCCAGTAAAATCCTTTTCACCTTTTCAGCCCATTGTCTCTGCTGCCCCCTTAACAAGTTTATGGCAAGAATCTAAGGGATTATTTGAATTGTCTCTTCTCTTCTTTCTTTGTTCTCACTTGTATATATTCAGTTTTTCTGTTCCTTCTTCTTATTTGGCTTAGCATCACCCCCTCCACTCCACCCATGTTGTAGCAAAAAGCAGAATTTCTCATCTATCCTTATAGCCAAGTAGTATTCCATTGTGTATTTATAACACTTCTTAATATCTTCCTCTATCATTAAATACTTGGCTTCTTCCCAAATCTTTGCTATTATAAATAGTGTTGCAGTGAAAAGAATGGTGTTTTCAGATTTATGTTTTTTGGATAGATGTGTAGGAGTGGAACTGTTAGATCATTTAGTAGTTCTAGTTTTAGTTTTGAGAAATCACTGGGACAATTTATATGCCCACCAGAAGTGTATGAGGTTTCTTTTTCTCCACACCTTTGCCACACCTGTTTCACTTAATCACTTAACTTCCCGTTAGTCGGCGATTTGCTCGAGCGGGCGCCAGTAACGTCTCCATTTGTCCCTGTCGCGTGCTAGTGTAGCCCAATGGCATCTGTTCGCTCCGGGAACATGAAGGGCCTCAAACAGATCGTTCATGATCTTGACGAAGAAGTCTGACCATCTGGTAGGTGGGCGGCCACGCAGTCTTTTGACATCCCGTGGAATCCAGTCGGTAACAACTCTAGTCCAGCGGTCGTCTTTAAATCTCATTACGTGACCAGCCCATCTGATTTTCGACACCTTGGCAAATGAGACAGCGTCCCTGATTCTTGATCGTCGATGGATGTTAGAACTCCGGATTCTTTCTCTCATTTGAGTGAAACGTGATATTCCAAGCATAGCTCTTTCTATTCTTCTTTGGGAGACCTGAATAGCGTTCTCATCCTGTTTGCGTAGGGCCCAGGTCTCTGAGGCATATGTTAATACAGGAAGAACAGTGGAATCAAAGAGATGTGCCCGGAGCCGGAGGTTCTTCGTCCTCTTAGCTATTCCTTCGACGTTCTTGAAGGCGTTCCAAGCCGCTCTCTTCCTCCTGCGCAGCTCGGGTGCCAGGTCATTTGTCATGTTGACCTCTCGACCTAGGTACACATAGCTGTTGCATTCGGAGATGGTCGTTACGTTGAGAGCGAATGGGGCATCAGGAACGAGGCTGTTTCTCATAAACATTGTCTTCGTAAGATTCAGCTGAGAGCGAATGGGGCAGCAGGAACGAGGCTGTTTCTCATAAACATTGTCTTCGTAAGATTCAGCTGTAGTCCTACCTTTCCACACTCACGGTCAAAGTCGGCCAGCATTTGTGCCGCTTGGCTGATGTTTGGTGTTATTAAAACAATGTCATCAGCAAAGTGGAGGTGGTGTAGTTGCCGACCATCTATCTTCACTCCCATTCCTTCCCATTCCAGTCGTCGCATGATGTTCTCGAGGGTGGCACTGAAGAGTTTCGGTGAAATGGGATCACCCTGCCGCACCCCTCTCTTGACATCAATGATCACTTCTTTGTAGAATGGTGAGATCCTGGTAGTGAATCCGCAATACAGCTCACGGAGGATCCTGATGTATTGGGCTTGAATGCCCTGATTGGCTAGGGCTTCAATGACCGCTTCCGTCTCAACAGAATCAAAGGCCTTCTTTAAATCAATGAACGTTAAACAGCACCTGTTTTAGCACCTGTTTATGGCCTTTTTTTAATATGGGCTATTCCCACAGCTGTGAAGTATAATATCTCATTGCTTTGCGTTACTTTCCTCTGGTAGTAACTGATAAGTTTTCCATGTGTCTGTTTTCTGTATGTATGTTGTCCTTCTGTTCAGCTCTTATCCCCATTTTTTTGAATAGGGTTATTTGGTTTTTATTGTTGAAAAAAACTGCTTCTCTAACTCTTGACAGCCCATTACTGAATCTAATAGGCATATCTCACTATTATTCAACCTATCACTAGTAAACAGTTTCATTGATCACTCTTTTTTTTTAATTTTTCTTTCACTTCCAGGATAAAAATGCCTCGTTTATTTTCTGTCTAATTTTCTAATTGGTTTTCCTAGTTTCTCTTGATGTCTGTGTCATGTTGGAGTGACTCAGAGACCAGACCATGAATCTGTTCTTTTTTCCTATCTAGGTTTGCTCCCCAGGTGGTTTCATCCAATCTTGTTGCATTAAATGCCATCTGTGTGCGATGATTCTCATATTTTATCTTCAGCGCAGACTTCTCTAAACTGCTGACATTTATGTCTAATTGCTGCTTGATTTTTCTACTTGAATGTCCAGTTAAACATCTTAAACTTAATATGTTCCAGGTTGATCTCCCATTTGATATACCCTCTCTTGCCACAAGGGCTGGAGCGATAGCACAGCGGGTAAGGCGTTTGCCTTGCATGCAGCCAACATGGCCGACCCGAGTTCGATTCCTCCACCCCTCTCGGAGAGCCCGGCAAGCTACCGAGTGTATCTTGCCCGCACGGCAAAGCCTGGCAAGCTCCCCGTGACGTATTTGATATGCCAAACACAGTAGTAATTGTCACAATGGAGACGTTACTGGTCCCGCTTGAGAAAATCAATGAACAACGGGAGGACAGTGACCCAGCGACTCTCTTGCCACAAACCATCTTTTCTGTTAGTGGCAACTCCATCCTTTATTATTACTCAGATCCTAAAATTTTATCTCCTTATTTTCTCTCTCTCCCTACTCTCTGTCTTACTCCCAACCCCCTCTCCCTCTCCCTCTCCTCCTCCTTTCCTTCCTCCCTTGATCCCTACCTCCCTCTCCCCATGTCCAGAAGAAATTCGGTTTTATCTTTAGTTCATATCTAGAAACTGTCTACTTTTACCTCCCCATCAGTCTCTCACAGACTAGATTCGTATCAGTCTTTGCATAAATTATTACAGGAGTCTCCACACAGATATCTTGCTTCTAATAGCCTCTTGTGTTTCACACTGAATGCAGCATAGGATAAATCCTGTCATTCTTCCTGCTCCAAATACTAATAGCTTCTAACGTCCTTCAGAATCAACAGTATATTTTCTATTTTACCTCCCAGATTCCTTCAGAGACTATCACTCACTTGATCACTTGATATCTCCTTACTCATCGATTTGCTCAAGCGGGTGCCAGTAACATCTCCATTTATCCCTGTTGTGTGCTAGCGTAGCCCAATGGCATCTGCTCGTTCTAGGAACACAAAGAGCCTCAAACCGATCGTTCAGGGTCTTGACGAAGAAGTCTGACCGTCTCGTAGGTGGGCAGCCACGCAATCTTTTGACATCCTGTGGAATCTAGTCAGTAATGGCTCTAGTCCAGCGGTCATCTCTAAATCTCATTACGTGTCCAGCCTATCTGATTTTTGACGCCTTG